AGTGATGGTGGACGAAGCTGACCGAAACTATTAGCTCATAGTGTGGAGACGAGATCCTTCTGAGTCTCTGAAGATTTTTAAGTTAAATACCGTGACATACGGAACATCGCCAGCACCCTTCATGGCAATCCGGTGTTTAATGCGGCTTGGAGAGATGGCGCAAGCTAAGTATCCAAATGCTGCAAAGGTCATTCAGGAAGATTTTTATGTTGACGATTTGTTGACAGGCGCCGGATGCGTTGAGAACCTGCAAAGCCTTCGTGAGGAAGTTTCTCAGGTTTTGAAAGAGGCAGGTTTCGAATTGGCAAAGTGGTTTTCGAACTGCCCAGAGATCTCCGCATCTGACAGCGCTATCATGCCATTATTGGCTGACTCAGATGTAACTAAAACCCTTGGAGTGGTTTGGTTACCTGGTAAAGATTACTTCCAATTTCGGTTGGATGACTCTTTCCAGAATCTTCGTCCGACAACTGCCCAAAGTCAAGGTATCGCGATTCGTTCATACAGATCCGCAAGTCCCGATTGAAATACAAGGTTTCGCTGACGCTTCCATGCGAGCATATGGAGCGTGCATCTACGTTCGCACTCAAACTGCTGAAGGTTTAAAAGTGTCATTACTGACTGCCAAATCCAAAGTAGCTCCCCTCAAGACGAAAACTTTGCCTCGCCTTGAGCTGTGTGCAGCTCACCTTCTAGCAGATCTTCTTAATCGTGTAAGGCCATTACTAAATTGCCCTATCAAAAAAGTGGTTCTATGGACCGACTCCGAGATCACTCTGCATTGGATCAGAACTCATCCTTCGTCGTTGTCCGTTTTCGTCTCAAACCGAGTAACTGAGATCCAAGAGTGGTCGGAGAATGCAATTTGGCGACACGTTCCCACGAAAGTAAACCCAGCGGATATAGTGGCTCGAGGATGTGACTTTGAAGATCTCCTAACGTCCATTTGGTTCGCTGGGCCGTCATTTTTACTCGACACAGAAAGTAGTTGGCTTGTAAATCAGCATTTCGAACCCCCTTCAGAAGTTGTGTCGAGTGAGTTACGCAAGTCGGCGTTAACTCTTGTTGTCACACCAGAACCCAACTACTTGCTTCAGAAAATAGAGTCCTTTTCGTCGCAACTGAAGCTGCTGAGAGTTTTCGTGTGGGTTCTCCGATTTATTCGGAGGTGTAAGAATGTTTTACAGCCTTTCGAAAAAAGCATTACGCCAAGAGAATTGAATTTTGCGTTCGAGAAAATTGTAGAAGTCATCCAATCTCACGAATTCAGTGACGACATAGGCAAAATTCGGAAAAAGAAACCGGTATCAACGCAGATTCAAAAGCTAAATCCCTTTGTGCAGGAAAATAAATCAGATTGGTGCTCTTCGACATTATTGCGAGTTGGTGGTCGGTTATTGAATGCTCCTATCCCGTACGAAGCCAAATTTCCGTTGTTGCTAACAAAAAGCTCACAATTTGTTAAAACCTACGTGTCGTATCTGCACGTTACGAATTTTCACGCTGGTCCTCGAGCTCTTGTGAGTCTCCTGCGAGAGAAAGTCTGGTTGGTCAATGCTCAAGACGTATGTCGCCGAACAGGTCGTTCGTGCATGAGCTGCTTTCGATGCAAGCCGCAGCTCTTGACGCAAATTATGGGGAACTTGCCATCAGACAGACTCCGAGCTCTCCGCCCTTTCAATATCTGTGGCGTCGATTTTTGTGGACCATTTAGCACAACATATCGCATCCGTGGTAAACCACCGTACAAGTCATATGTGGCCTTGTTTGTGTGTTTTGCGTCCAAAGCGGTCCACTTAGAGTTAGTGTCTGACCTTACCACTGATGCATTTCTATTGGCTTTCCAAAGGTTCGTGAGTCGTCGCGGGATTCCGGAAAAGGTGTGGTGCGACAACGCGACGAGCTTCGTCGGCGCGGATCGGCACCTGAAAGAGTTCCGGGCCCGTCTGGAGGAGCAGGGGGCGGTATAGAAGCATTCGCATCAAGAAAAGGATGCGAGTTTGCGTTCATACCGCCCAGAGCACCTCACTTCGGCGGTCTGTGGGAAGCAGGTGTGAAGTCTGCAAAGCACCTGTTCCTTCGGACGAGTGGCGGACGTCAAGACGGCAGAGGGAACGTTTAGGCGAGCAATCCATCGTTTGGCTCTGTTACCGATCTTGTCCTGAAGGGCGTCGTCCCTTCAGATAGGGGCGTAATAAAGCTTTCTCGCTCAGGCGAATTCGGCCGCCGCTCTCCCGCTTAGTACTTTAGGTTAGCATGTAAGAGAAATTTATGAAATTAAAGTTTAGTTGAAATTTGAACTCCCTGTCGTACGCACTGCGTAACTCTCGTTTTCGTTTTCGACTTAATAAACCTCGCAAAATAAGAAATAACCACTGCAATCACAAGTTCTCGCGTTTGTCGGCAATAAAAACGCTTATTGTTTTTCAAAGACGTTTTCCAGATGCGCAGCAAATACATTCGCCCTCTCTTCGTTGCTGCGAGCCCACCCTCCTGTTTGTGTGTGTAATGGCGATTCGCTTTCGATTGGTGGACATATACCCGATTTAGTTTTTTACAGTGGATATCGACTGCTGTTAGGGAAAAGATTCTGCAAATAGAATAATTGAGATCGATTACTTTCATCTTCTAGGGCAGTGCGTAGAAGATATGTGCGGACTCTGCCGAATGCAGAGTTATTAGAGTAGAATTAAAACGTTCGACTTGTTTCGGTCTCTAATATGCACTGATTTTAATGTTCGATTTCGAGATTACAAAAGAGAGATATGTATGTATGTACATGTGTGAGCTGCTTGTATAAAAGAGCGTAAGGCGAATTCAAAACATAAGCATATGATTACAGTGTGGGGTAATTAAATATAACAAGTTGGCAAAGACTTCAAAATATTAAGCAAATTAAATATGTTATTCATACAAATAATAATAATGAAATCAAAATTTATGTTGACTTATGATGTCATCGAACATTCTCCGCCCGTTGAATGATCCAAGGAGTATTCAAGCACCAATTTGCTCAGGCAGGGGCGCTATCTTACAGATGGGTCTTCGAATGGTTCCATTTTTCACCTTGATCTCGGCCACTCCTACTCGTCCATCAGCTCCGACATGCGTGTTGGTGATGCGACCAAGGATCCATTCCTGGGGAGGTGTATTATCCTCGTGAACAATCACCATTTGGCCAATTTGAATATTGGCATTGGGTTTGAGCCATTTGGAGCGTGTGTAAATAATCACGCCTCCATAGCTCCCAGAACTGCCGCTTCAAGTACGTAACGCGCTGCCACCGCGTAAGATAAGATGGTCTGCTATCATCAATTGAAGGCTCCGGTACGGACATCAAAGAGGACCCAATTAGCAAGTGCGCTGGGCTAAGCGCCTCTCCATCGTTTGGGTCTTCGGAGAGGGGTGCCATTGGTCTTGAGTTCAAGATTGCCTCCGACTCGATTGCAATCGTTTGAAGCTCCTCGTACGTTAGCCCAGTGTTGCCCAAATTTTTCATCATAAGGCTCTTCATGGACTTCACTGCGGCCTCCCACAAGCCGCCAAAGTGGGGAGCACGCGGAGGAATGAACTTGAACTCAAATCCCACGATGCTGCTGAACTTCTGCAAATTCGATGTGTTGGCTTCGTCGAACAGCTGCTGCTTAAAATCCTCGAGCTGCGATCGTGCACCGACGAAATTAGTTGCATTGTCACAATAAATGCGTAGTGGGATGCCTCTGCGACTGACGAAGCGCGTTAAACAGAGAATAAAATTATTAGTGGATAGATCGGAAATGAGTTCTATGTGGATTGCTTTTGAAGAAAAGCATATAAACACCGCCATGTATGTTTTATATGGCACCTTGCTTCGAATGCGGTATGATGTGGAAAATGGTCCACATAGGTGGACTCCAGTTACAAAAAAGGTCGTTGTGAATGAAACCGATCAACTGGAAGTGATCCCATCATTTGTTCCATTAAACGAGGCTTGTAATGGTAACAGTGAGTGCAGCGCCGTACAATCTTTCGAACGATTTCTCGGGCGTTTACAATCCAAGCCTGAAGTCGCAGGATTCCAATGAGAGCCTTTGGTCCTGCGTGCATGTGCTGCTGGTGGAGATATTCAACGAATTTCAATGTGAAGGAATGATTTTTTGGTAGAAGAACAGGAAATTTGGCATCGAGTGAAATGGGCGCCTTGGCTAAGCGGCCTCCTACACGTAATAGTGTTATCGAACCGTTTGATCCGTCCGTCACTGCTAGGAACGGATTTAGCTTTTGAAATTCGGGCTTTAAAATCTTGTTTCCCTTCAGCTGCTGGATTTCGTTGAAAAAGGCCTTCTGCTGAATATGCGATACGATGTGCTTGAACGCGTATTGCAATTCAGTTGCTGGTGTATGAATTACATCGACTAAGTTCACCTTCCTGTTGACCTTGATTTTATTGAAGACGCGCAACACAAAAGCCATGACTCGCAAAATGCGCCGATAGGATGAGAATTTGTTGATAACGTCATCGAGTAAATCTTCCTTGCTACCACTATCGGTACATGTGAGGACTGTTGCTTTCCGCAGCTCCAACTCTTCACTGGTGTCCTGAGAATTTGGTACTGGTTGAGGCCATCCAGATGAGTCTTGACGTAAGAAGCTTGGTCCACGAAACCATATAGTTTCCATAAGCTCGGACGCTGCGCAGCCTCTTGACACTATGTCCGCTGGATTCTCCTTGCCCGGAACGTGCCTCCAAGTGATGTTTGACGTGGTTGCTTGCATCTCAGAAATCCGGTTGGCGACGAAACAGTTTAGCCTGGACGAGTGCATGGTAAGCCACTGGAGAACGATTCTCGAATCTGTCCAAAAGAAAATATTATCAATGTAATTTTCGAATTTATGCTTAATCTTGGCCCATGTTTGACACAATAAATATGCGGCGCACAATTCTAGCCGCGGCAATGAAATTGCTTTTATTGGGGCCACTTTAGACTTGGCGATGATTAGCATTGATTTAAACTCTCCATCTATGTATGTTCGTAGATATAGGCAACATCCATAAGCTCGCTGCGATGCATCTGAAAATCCGTGTATTTCCGATAGACTTCTTGGTGACGAGTTAATGAATCTTGGGACTTCGATGGTTTGAAGATTGTGCAAATCTTCTTCTTCCACTGAGATTGAAGCTCAGGAGGAAGTGGATCGTCCCAGTTTAGACGATGCATCCACAACTCTTGGACCAATATTTTGCATCGAATAACGACTGGTGATACGAGCCCTAGCAAATCGTACAGGTGAGCTACAAGTGAAACGATGCTCCGCTTGGTGATGACAGATATTGTAGGTAGGGTACACCTGAAACAGAACACATCGAGTTTTGGTTGCCATGACATGCCCAACGTCTTCGTCACATCTTTGGTATCAACTTTGAATTGGAACTCTGCTCCATCGCCTTCTATTTTGCTTGTGTTCCACTTTGCAAGCTCTAATCCAGCCTTAGAAAGTATGCTGGTGACCTCTGCAGCCTTAAGATGAAGTTCTTCGACACTGTCTGCTCCAGTAAGGAGGTCATCGACGTACATATCTTCTTTCAGTACAGATGCTCCGATGGGAAACTGATTGGAGAAGTTATCCGCAATATATTTCAAGCTCCTGATTGCTAGAAATGGTGCACAGGACATGCCGTACGTGACAGTGTTGAGCTGAAACAATTCTAAAGGCGCAGCTGAGGATTCTCTCCAGAGAACAAGTTGATATATACGATCATCTGGTGATACTTCAAACTGGCGATACATCTTGCAGATATCAGCTACGAGTGCATGACGATGTAAGCGAAAGGCAAGAAGTGTTAGGATAAGATTCTGCTGGATGCTTGGGCCAATCATCAACAACTCATTCAGAGAAAGATTCGACGTTGCTTTGCACGATGCATCAAACACAACACGCAGCTTGGTAGTTGTGCTTTCAGATCTAAGGACTCCATGATGCGGGATTACATAATGTGTCTTCTGAGATTCGAAATTAGATGCCAATTGCATATGATTCAAATCTATGTACTCCCTCATGAATTGTACGTACATCTCCTTCAACAACGGGTTGCGGCTCAACCTACGTTCAGTTTGCAGAAACCGGGATTTGGCAATTTCAAACGATTTACCTAGCATGTGAGGATTCTCCTTAAATGGCAAGCAAACTTGGACCCGTCCAGATGTGAGAAACCTTGTGTTTGCCACAAAATGCCGTTCGCATTCCTGCTCTTCTGCGGTAAAACCCTGATCGTGCGAATCAAACTCCTCGATTAGCCAGAACCTTTCTAATGCACCTTGCAGCTCCGTAGAACGTGCCATATTGCATGTTACGACTTGAGATTGCGGAATATCAGAAACCTTTCCGCCAACGATCCAACCAAGTGCAGTATTGACCAGGCAAGGAAGGCCTGAACCCAAAGAAATTTTGCCATTTGAAAGTAAATCAAAAAACTCTTGTGTGCTGATGAGTAGGTCAATTCGGTGAGGCATGTAGAAGCCTGGATCTGCAAGGTCAATCTCTGAGGGTATGTTCCATTGTGAAGTATCAACGAGTCGCTCTGGTTGATTAAGCGATATTGTCTTGGCTACAGCGAATTGTAAATGCCATTCATTTACAGACAATCGTGATCGAATAGTTGTAGAGACCGAGAATCTCATCTGCGTTCTGACATCGCCTATGCCAGAAATGTCATACTTCTGTCTCTCGAATCTGAGCTGAAGGAGCTTGGCCAACTCTTCAGAGATGAAATTTATTTCAGAGCCTGAGTCAAGCAAAGCTCTGGCTGGCTGAAATATTCCGAACTTATCCCTAATCAATACTATTGCTGTAGGAATTAAAGCGCGCCTCGAATGACGCGAAAGCATGGAAACAGCATGTGTGGGTTCCCGCTGCTGCTGAGATGTGTTGGAAACAATTTGTGTTGGTTGCTCTGGATGAGCAGATCTATGCAGAATAGTATGATGTAACCCTTGACAAACGCGGCATCGAGATCTATGTGGACATCTGCTCGCCAAATGGCCGGTGCGCAAACAATTTATGCACAGAGCGGATTGCTTAACGAAATTCAATTTATCCTGCCAGTCTAGTAAACCAAATGAAGGGCACTGAGTGAGAGAGTGATCAGTAGCAGAACATTTTTTACAACCACCCTGTGCCGTAACAAAGGCTCTTCTATTCTGCGTGGGTCTTTCCTTTGGCTTCTCATCAGATGTTCGTTTAACGTTGCTCTCCAAAAATTGACAATGACGGCTTAAACTGCGATAACAATCCTCACAAGTAGGCAACACCTCGTATTCTTGACACCGATCGTACGATAATTTCGAATCTGCATCAATTTTAGATAAAACAAGATGAATTAATATTGCGTTCATTACATCTGCTTCTGTTCCTAACGACAACAACGATTCACGCAGCGCGGAGACGGTATCCAAGATACAGCGAAGAGCTGCGGGATCAGATCTTTTCATAATTTGAATGTCGAATAAGCTAGATATGTGCTCTATGAAAATCAAAACCTTTTTATCGTAGCGCTCCTTTAACTGCTTTAACGCCTTTGGATAATTAATTTCGGACACTTGAAAGGGGGCCACAACACTCAGCGCGGGTCCAGACAAACAGCTAAGCAAGTAGTTAAATTTGTCAACAGCTGATATAGAAGCGTCATTATGTACCATGCTAGTAAATGCAGTAATAAACTTCATGTAGTCACCATACTTCCCGTCGAACTTAGGCAGCTTCAACGAAGGCAAACGATTATGGTGCCCAGTTGCACAACTTGCCGATGAATTAAAGAAACTTGCATCTTCAGGCCGATCCTTCTTTGACGCCCCACTTCGAGTGATGATAATTGCCTTGGTTTCTATGAATACGTCCTCTAATTCTTGTCGGCCGTCGTCAGCCGCATCCAGCCGTTCGATCTGTGATTGAATCTGAAGAATTTGTTTATTCAATTCAAAAATTTGTGACTGGCATTCAAGGGCAGCAAGGTCGTTCTGCAGTTCGATGCGAACTTTGAGATTAACTATATTTCGCTGAATTGTATTCCTGTGTTGTCTTAAAGACACGAGTTGAGTATCAGTCATTTTTGCGAAGAGTTAATTAACGAAAACTAAGTGTAGAGCAATTATTGAGTGAAGCAATACCTTATCCAAATATGTTGGCAATGCCCTTTGGTTCAGAGGGAGAAAACAAAACACTCCGATGCTTGCGAGAGTAACTGAATTCTTGGCTTATTTATTTGCAGACTAGCTGCACAAGTATGTATGTGTATATGGGCAATGGCCTTTGGTTCACAGTGGAATGACAAAACCGCGATTGCATTTGCGAGTCTAGCTTACAGTTTTTCGTCCTCTTTGTGCCGCTATTCCTTGGTCTCCAAACCTGTACTTGCGACGGTTATGATGCGCATACCCTGTATGCAGGTATCCACGACGATCCAGTGGCGATGATTCCGGTGATCCAACGATGCTTCCGGTGATCCAACGATGATGCCAAACGCACTGCCACTATTCCGATGAGCTGCCGCTGCTGCCAAATACACCAAGTATTGGCGTTGCTGGAATCTATTTCTCCGCCGAATGCAGAGGGAATAATTCTACGTGATTTATGGTGGGACTTGCCGAATGCAGAGTCCTGTCACGGTCGCCAAAATGTGCGGACTCTGCCGAATGCAGAGTTATTAGAGTAGAATTAAAACGTTCGACTTGTTTCGGTCTCTAATATGCACTGATTTTAATGTTCGATTTCGAGATTACAAAAGAGAGATATGTGAGCTGCTTGTATAAAAGAGCGTAAGGCGAATTCAAAACATAAGCATATGATTACAGTGTGGGGTAATTAAATATAACAAGTTGGCAAAGACTTCAAAATATTAAGCAAATTAAACATGTTATTCATACAAATAATAATAATGAAATCAAAATTTATGTTGACTTATGATGTCATCGAACAAGATAGTTGGCTGCTTTAAGCCACTCCTTCGAGGCAGGCGATCTGTGGGCTTGCCACTCCCTCCGAAGTCTTCTCGTATTGCGTAGCAGTTCGTTGATATGCCCAGAAGCTCGACTGTTGCTAAAATTAGAATTAAAATTACAAGCCGATATAGTAGGTGTGGAGTGTTGAGCAGCTAGTGACATAACAGACACTAGTGCTTCAACTGAGCTATCAATCTCTTCTTTTTGGTACATGTTTGGGAAGCCATCAATATGGGTACTTACCAGCGTTGCCAGACGTCCCGATTTTGGCGGGACGTCCCGATTTTTAAATTAAAATTAAATGTCCCGCGCGGGACAGGTTCAGTCCCGCTTTTTAATGATAATTCGAACGTGCGGGCTGATGATGACTTCCTCTCTTTCTCTTCGCTCTTTCCTTATTTTCATTTGCTTATAATTTTCTGTTTTACGAAAACGTACGATTATCAACGAAAGAATAACGATTACCATTTGTTTTAGTGCAGTGAAGCAGTGATCTTTAAGTGAGTTGCATTGCGTGCGTAATTTAGTTTGATTTCATTAAGCAAACAAAAGTAAGTTTTTCACGTGTTTTTGTTCGTGAATTATTGGAGTTTACTTATTAGAATCCTTTAAAGATGAATGCAACTAATAGAGTTCTTTATTTTTATTAAAGAGAAAAAAGAAACTTTAAAAGAAGTGAAATCTTCACAGAAATATCATGAATAAGTGATTTTTATAAATAGTTATTCTCTTATTGTAAGTTAAAATTTGAAACATTCATTCCTCAGACTATTGGTTAAAACGCCAATATTCTATTCTAATGAATAGTACTTATTTGATTTTGATTTCTGTTTATTATTATTTTTTTTATTTAGAGAACGAATAAAACCCAAATATTTAACGAAAAAGGAAATATCATTGGAAATATTATATTTTTGGTAATATATATTTTCTATAGCTAATTTTACTATCTATTGCACTTTCACTTAATTTGGATGGAAATAAAAAGATAAATATTTTAAAAACTTCAGGTTATATACGTTTTTTATTATGTCCCGCTTTCGACGTAAGAGTCCCGCTTTTTTCACTAAAAAAGTTCCTAAGTCCCGACTTGGCAAAAAAAAAAAACTGGCAACGCTGGTACTTACATACTTTCTGTATTTAAGCCAAACTATTTTACTGGAAGTTAGGAGATGTGTTTGTTTAGAAAGCTGTGAATGGTTGTAGAGAAGAATTAAAATGGGCGAGTGATCCGATGAAAGATCTGATAAGTGTTCCACATGAACATGACCTCTAGGCACTCTTCTTGTGACGGCAAAATCCATCAGGTCAGGCTTCTTGTTAGGATCTGTTGGCCAAAATGTAGGCTTACCTGGAGAGATAAGGTCAAGCTTGTTTCTTGGTGTTATTATGGCGTTGTACAGCTGTCTTTCTTTCGGATTGGTGAGTCGAGAGCCCCAATGGGGGTGTTTCGCATTGTAATCACCAGCCGCTATAAAACGGTCACCTAATAGGTTAAAGAACTGTACGAATTCATCTTCGGAAATGGAGAAGCGTGGTGGGCAGTATACAGCGGATAGGTTTAAGAAACCGCTTTGGGTATCAATGTGTATTGATGTAGCTTGTAAAAAGGTGGTTGCGAATGATGGCAACTCATAATGCCTGATGCGTTTCTTAATCAGTATGCCAGTGCCGCCATGAGCCTTGCCATCGGGATGGTTTGTTTTATAAAATGAATAGCCATTTAGGTGAAAGTAGTTTTTGTTAGTTAGGTGAGTCTCTGATATAAGCATGGCGTCAATGTCATACTGATCTAGGAACTGCAAGAGCTCATATTTGTGCTGAGAAATGCCATTCGCATTCCAGAAACATATTTTTAAGGTAACCAGCTAAACCGATTTTTGTTTAATTAATAGCTCCAAAAGGAGATTTTGAGAGCGCATAAGTTCCTGCAGCGTTTGCTGTATTGCTACCATTGTGTTGGTTATAGTTACCAACATTGCTTCTACGCCATTAGGCAATTGAGTATTTGCATTCGCATGTTGGCCAGTAGTTTCTGGAGTCTGGTTCAATATTTGTTGCCGCACTGTATCAGCAGTGATTTGCTGAACTGTCACCTTAGATACTGGGGCGTTCGCCCCGTTGTTGTTACTTAAAACCTGTGCAAAAGAGACTCCCGGGATCGTGGTCGTTGATATAAATCAAGAACTGTTTCGGGTTACAGGATTTCGAGCTGCAGTTATGTGTTGGCCTAGTCGACTTTTCAGCTCTTTGTAGAAAGGACAACCTCTGTAATTTGCAGTGTGGTTTCCCCCACAATTATTACATTTTATTGCAGAATGGTTATCCTTATTTATTGGGCAGGC